CAAGGTTGGCAGTTCAAGCTCACCAGTCGCTCCTTGGAAACCCTAGATAGGGTCGCTATGGGTCGGAACTGACGGCACTTAACAACAACAACAACAAATATCTATATATCTATATTTATATATATATAACTTTCAATTCACAATAAAAGCTTAATAAGCTTTTATTGTGAATTGAGTGATAGTTTGCATGGGAGAACATCAGTTTTACACTCATCCTATTGTATTTCACTTCATTGCAATGATTACAATCCCCTCCATGCATCATCATTCAACAGTATTTACTTCTATTCACTCTGTGTTTTTTTTTAATGTACACAAAAGTACCCAGAAATATATAATCATTTAAACAAACAAAGGGCACATTCTGCAAGCCTGCCTTCTGGCCGCCAGCACACAGCTTTTCTCTTCCCATGATTCTAGAGTCCTCAGCTGCTCTCTGTCTCCATGTCCTCATCTCTGCCTCCATCTCTGATGTCACTTATTCTCTGGATAGGGTCCCACATTCTGCTTGTGGTCTTCTCCCTTGATGGTCCTAGGGTCCTCTGTTTCTGGACTGTAAGATTAAATACATCCCCCTTTTTGTTACACAACGTCTACCTTTACAGTTGTGACAGTTGCAATCAGTCATGATAATAATTACTCACTTTCGAATCATAAGAATCTTATCCCCATCTCTTTTTATCAGACCCATGTAGACAAGATGAAAACAATTCAGTGTCACCCACTGTACCACTAAGGATTTAAAAATCAAATAATCCACAAATCTTTAAAAAAGGGTTAAAAATGAGTGTATACTTTTTCACTTGCCTTTTGTTGTTATCTTTGTTTAATGACAGTTGCTAATTGGGATCCATTGGCATGATGTTCTCAGAGAGGTACTAACATGATCGGCATCTATTTCCTTTTAAAGCTCCCTGAAAAGCTGCTTTTTTCTCAAGGTTGTAATTGGATCCAGCAATACAGTTTTGGTCCTGAGAAATATACAGGTTCAAACGTGTTTGGAAAATTACGTAAATGCGTGGAATTATTGAAAACGCAGGTGAGTGCTTGTGGGTGCTGAGAGAGAAACTCAGAATGAAAGCACACACGGGGGCTTCAGAATGCCTGTGGGAAAATGAAGTGAAAAGAGTGGGATTGTTTTCAATGAACTTTTGGAAGGCTCCCCGTACATCCTCTAAAAGTAACGTGTCCCTTTCTGATAGGTAGGTAGGGATGTTGTTGTTGTTAGATGCCATCGAGTCGAATCAGTACCGACTCGTAGCGACCCTATGTACAACAAAACGAAACACTGCCGCGTCCTGGGCCAACCTCACTATTGTTGCCACAGTTGAGCCCATTGATGCTGCCATTTTGCCAATCCATCTCACTAAGGGTCTTCCTCTTTTTTCTGACCCTCCGCCTTAGCAAACATGATATCCTTCTCCAGCGACTTGTCCCTCCTGACAATATGAGGGATGAAGTATGAGAGACGAAGTTTGGCCATCCTGGCCTCCAAGGAGCACTTCTTCCAACATAGCTCTGTTGGTTCTTTTGGCAGCCCATGGCACTTTCAATATTCTCCTCCAACACCATAACTCAAAAACATCAATTTTTCTACGGTCTTCCTTATTCATTGTCCAGCTTTCGCATGCATATGAGGTTATTGAAAATACCATGGCTTGCGTCAGGCGCACCTTAGTATCAAGCTGACATCTCTGCTCTTCAGCACTTTAAAAAGGTCTTGAATGGCAGAGAAGTAGGCATGCAGGCTGGAAATTCTAGCAACTGATGTTGCCTTTCCTTGCTGGTCTTTCTTCTACCAGGGAATGAATGAGAATGACCTTGTTCTAGATAATTGGGCTCATTATGGGTTAAGGAGGGTGTCCGACTTGGAAGCATTAATAAGCATGTGCTTTTGTGGTGCCAGTTCCAGACAAGGTGCTCACGAATGCCCTTTGGAACGCATCCTGTTAAGAGTTGGGGAACACATAGATGTCATCATTTGACTAAGGTTTTCCCTGCCTTAGAATACAGGTAGAGATGGGCTTGTCTTCATTCTCTAGAGCTGCTCTAACAGAAATACCACAGTGGGTGTCTTTAACGAACATAAATAAATGTCTTCTCTCACGGTTTAGGAGGCTGGAAGTTTGAGTCCAGGGTTCTGGCTCTAGGCTTTCTCTGTCTGTCGGCTCTGATAGACGGTCCTTGTCTCTGCGTTTCTGCCTCAGGGTGATCTCCATGTGGCCAGGCATCTCTCTTTCCCCATCTCTGCTCTGCTTATTTGTTTAATCTCTTTTATATTTCCAATATGAACTCCTGGTGTGGTGCTGTAGGATCAGCACTGGACTGCAAACCACACGGTTGGCAGTTCAAGCCCACCAGCTGCTCCCCTGAAACGTTATACAGGGTCTCTATGAGTCAGAACTGACCTGTTGGCACTTAACAACAAAATATTTCAAAAGAGATAGACTTAAACTACACCCTACACTAAGCCTAATCCAGGAGTCCTAGTGTGGTGCTATAGGGTCAGCTCTGGACTGCAAACAACAAGGTCGACAGTTTAAGCCCACCAGCTGCTCCTAGGAAACCCTACACAAGGTCACTATGAGTTGGACCCACTTCGATGGCACTTAATGACAACAACAAATGGAAAATTCCCTAAGGCTGTGGCGCTGTAGGATAAGCACCTGACCAGTTTGAACCACAAGGTCGGCAATTCAAAACTACCAGCTGCTCCTCAGAAAGCCTATACAGGGTTGCTATGAGTTGGAACCCACTCGACGGCGCTTAACAACGTAAATCCTGCCTCTTCATAACACAACAAGGACAGCCTATTCCTAAAGGGAGTTACAATAAAAAATTTAGAGGTTAGAATTTATAGCACATATTTTGGGGGACATAATTCAATCCCTGGTCCTGGTGTGGTGCTATAATATAAGCACTGCACTACTCACCACAAGGTCAGTGGTTCAACTCCACCAGCCCTTCCTTGGAAACCCTACACAGAATCACTAGGAGTCAGAACCCACTTGATGGCACTTTACAGCAATAATTCAATAGATAGCAGGTTTCTTGAGTTAATCCTGGGCATACCACTAACTGTTGTTGTTGAGTGCCGTCTAGTCAATTCTGACTCATAGCGACCCTGGATAGGGTTTCCAAGGAATGCCTGGTGGGTTTGAACCACTGACCTTGTGATTAACAGTCTAGTGCTTATCCTACAGTGCCAATTTGAGAAATCCTTGTGCCACGGTTTTGTTATCTGTGAAATCCATTGTGATGTACACTGCTAAAATGCTCAGGAACTAACCCAGTTTGAGTGGACTCAGAGGAGCCTCAGCATAAAGGCCTGGATCTACTGCCAAAAGCTCAGCCATTGGAAACCCTGAGGAGAACAGTTCCACTCTGACACACATGGGGTCACCATGGGTTGGAGTCAACTTGATAGCAGCTGATTCTGGTAGATTCTCTATTGTGAGGATTCAGTACATGTTAATACTTAGGAGTCAGTACATGTTGAACGTTCCGAGCTGTGCCTGGCATATTGTGAGTGTTAAGGGATACTGGTACTGCTCTTGGCTGGGATAGTCTTTGTATAACCAAACTAGCCAAAGCAGCTTTAGGTAACTGACTTACTGAGCATCGTATCTACTAGGTGGTATACATTTAAAAATTATTCTGTTTCAACCAGTTGGTCATTGTAAAAGTAATACACACTTGTGGTTTGTTTGTTAGTTTGCTTGGGGGGGGGGGGAACCAAACAGTGACCAAAAGATATAAAATGAAATCTATGTACCACCTCCCTTAGATCTCCAGTTTCTGTTATAAATACTTGCAAATGGATGTCATTTCCCCTTCTAAATTTTATTCTTGCATCTCTGTATTTAGTGGACAGAATTTAGTGGGATGAAAGATTACCATAAGAGAGGAAATAAATGCAACATGCTGTTTTCGGATGCGATTCTGGAATACAGACTTTATGAAGCTTTGAAATTCATCATGTTGTACCAAGTCACTGAGGTGTATGAACAGATGAAGGCTCAGCAAGGCATCCCTAGGCCTTTTAGCCTTCTGTTTTCCAGGGAAACATCGTCTGATCCTTTGAGCTTCATGATGAATCACCTGAATTCCATAGGCGACACTTGTGGTTTGGAGCAGGTAAGTGGTCCCAGACCCTCGTGAACCCTAGATTGAGGATGGTGTGGAATTCCCGAACACTTGGTGCTCAGTGAGGATGAAGTCAATGGCAAAGAGGTGGTCAGTTGATGTTGTAATTGTTCTTGTTGCTGTGAAGTGAGATCCCATTCATGATAGTCCCAGGCTCAACAAAACCAAACATGCACCACTGTTGGTATTGCAGCGGCTATTGTTGGTTGACATCAGTGCCCCTCCAACAAAGAGAAAACGAGTCTCGGCCTCCTGCCCTGTGCGGTGGCTGTGTCTCTCTGAGCTCCAGTTCTGGGGGGCTGGGTGGCCGTGCACTCAGCTGTTAACCAGGAAATGCCATGATGTGAAGGAGAGAATTTGGCAAATCACTGCTGATAAAGGGAGTGCCTGAAAATGTTTAAGACACAGAAAAAGGTTTTATCCTTTTGGAAAAGTGTTTCTGTTTTGGTGTTTTTTGGCTTTCCTGGGAGGTAAACAATGATCAGACCTCTCTTGATGCACATTGACTTAAGTGGAAAACAAGGCCGTTTTTTTATGGTGAGCGCTCTTCTGTTTCCCATTACATTTTTTCCTTTTCCCATAGAGCTTTTCCCTGTGATGTCTCGATATTTTCGGAGACTGCTAGAGATGTGGCTTTCTAGTCCTCTTCCTCCCAGTAATGAGCATTCATTCCCATCTCTATGCCTATTCTGCACTTTGTGCATGGGTCTTAAATCAGTGGATCATTTCATAAACTATGTTGTTGTTAAGTGCTGTTGAGTTAGTTCCAACTCACAGTGACCCCGTACACGGTTTCCAGGGAACAGCGCCTCATCCTGCAGCACCATGCCAGGGAGAGCACTTTTCCCCACTGTGGTGGGAGGGGGGGAATTTGAAAATGTGTGTGTGTGTGTGTGTGTGTGTGACCTTCCTTTCATCTCATCTCCAGATTGATATGTTTATACTTGGCTATTCACTGGAAGTAAAAATCAAAGTGTTCAGACTCTTTAAGTTCAACTCCCAGCACTTTGAAGTCCGCTACCCAGAGCAGCCTCTCCGAGAGTGGCCGGAGATCTCTCTGCTGACCGAGGATGACCACCACTATCTCATCCCCATCTTCTGAGTTGAGCCTGACTGGGCACCAGCTCCAACCATGCTGTGACAGAGAGATTTCTCCAAGACCAGCACTGGTGTTTCAGCTGCTTCCAGATGGGGTCGGGAATGATAGGTGCTCAGAGATGGAGCTGTGTGAGGGGGCTTTTCTTTGTCTCTGATTTGCCACAAAGCAGCTGCTCTGATACCTGTGAACTGATGGTTTGACCTTGTTCTTAAAGTTTCTCTGGTCGCTGCACATGACAACAGCTGCAGGAAAACAAAGGGAGAAGAAAGCAACTCAGGAGAAGCCACCGACCTGAAAAGAAAGAGTATGTTTACCTTCTACTCCTTAAGGCCTTCATTAAGAGTCTCTTCTCAGACAGACTCTGGAGAAACATCCGTGTGGCCTTGTTTAACAAACATCATCTTCCCAGGAGTCCTTGTGGCCTACTGACTTTGCATAAGTACTTGTTGAACTTTAAAACTGTGTGTGTATACTCAAATATGTATATACGTCTACATAAATGTATATAGACATGCACACACGTACAGTTATATGTATATAAATGCACACACACTCACACACAACCACTACTTTGTAATGTACAATTTGTTTCACAGTTCTTGACATCTCGTTTGTTACTGTCACATCTGGCCATGTGTTTTCTATCGATGCAAAAGATCAATTCTAAAAAAGAAGGTAACGTCGTGATAATTACTTCACTGCCACAAAACACCACACTGTGCTGTGTTTCATGTATGTTGCATGTGTATTTAATGTGGAATCTCACTGTGGTAGGCAGAATAATGCCCTCCCTAAATATGTCTAATCCTGAAAATGTCTGATAATGTTACAGTATCGGCACAGGGAAGTTAAGGTTGTAGATAGCATTAAAGTGACTAACCAGCTGACCTTGAAGTGGGAGGTTATTGGGATTGTCCAGATGAAGCCAATGTAATCACAAGGGTCCTTAAAAGTAGAAGAGGGGTAAGAAGAGAGGAGTCAGAGGCTTTCATTAAAGCTGCTGGCTGTGAAGATGCAGGAAGGAGCCACAAGCTAAGGGATACAGGCACCCACTGGGAGTCAGAACAAATTCTCCCTGGAGCCTCCAGAAAGGAACACAGTCCTGCCAACACCTTGATTCTAGCCATGTGACGCGCCTGTCAGCCTAACCTGCCGATGTGTCTAAGTCACAAAGTTTGTGGTAATGCGTCATAGAAGCAATGGGAAACTAATACGCTCAGGCTAAATTTTTTGCTAATTGCTATGTTGGAAATACTTCACTCATCTATTTTGAACTTCAATAAATATAAAAAAGAATTTTTAAAATCTTGCCAACAGTTTCCTGTGTCAAAGTCACACCCCCCTCTCTCAGTCTGGCTCACTCAGCAATGTACCTGACGCCAGCTCTCGCCACATTTCAGTGTTGCTTATTCTGTAAATAAACATTTTATTTTATTTTTTTTACGTTTGTGCAGTATTGTGGTAGCATGAAAAGAGTGCCGAGGTTCTGTTGCAATCGGGAGCAGTCAGGTTTCTATACTGCAGAAGCTGGGTGCCCAGGCGTGCACAGTGCCTACTGTGGTTTGCTTTTCTGTCCGAAGAGTCATGGAGCTTACAGTGGGAGCTTCGCTACCTCACAAAACAGCCCTGTCTATGCTCAGAAACATCTGGGGTTTTGTATAATGTTGTTAAATGCCATCGGGTCAGTTCAGATTCATAGCGACCCTATGTAGGGTTTCCAAGGAGCAGCTGGTGGATTTGAACCACTAACCTCACAGTTCAAACTGACCTGTGGTCTAGTGCTTATCCTATAGCACCACACCGGGACTCCATAGACTAAGAATGATGGATGGTGGTATGCCATGGAGTCAGTTTTGACTCATAGCGACCCTGTATAGGGTTCCCGAGGCTATAAATCTTTACAGGAGCAGAAAGCCTCATCTTTCTCTTGCAGAACTGCAAGATAGCTAATTCCAGAATTACAAGCTTTCTCTTAAATAGCAATTTCCTTGAACTATGTGATTTTGTTTACAAGAAGGTATTTTACACTGCTTAGCAAGACTAGTTACATTACAAAAATGTAAAAATAGAAGATTAATTTTGACAGACCAAAACTTTAATTGCATACTGGACTTCTGGGGTAGCACTTTAGGATGGGCACTGACCTACCAACCTCAAGGTCGGAGGGTCAAACCACCAGCTGCTCCTCAGAATCAGCTCCACAACACTTCACAACAACAATCATTGGGTTGTTTGTCATCAGTTGATTATGATTCTATTACTCAGCATATCCGGGAAAAGCTGTTTCTCTGGCTAAATTTTTCTCTATAGGCATTTTGTTTCCTTTAAATCCTGTTTTTGTTCACAGCATCTGCTTTAAAACCAGACCAAAATTAAGTGGGTCCAAAAATCCTCACCACTGGACCAAAAAATAACATCGTGATAAATGGAGAAAAGATTGAAGTTGTCAAAGACTTCATTTTGCTCAGATCAACCATCAACACTCATGGGAGTAGCAGTCAAGAAACCAAACAACATTTTGCATTGGGCAAATCTGCTGCACAAGACCTCTCTAAAGTGTTGAAGAACAAAGATGTCAGTTTGAGGACTAAGGTGTACCTGATGCAAACCATGGTGTTTTCAGTAACCTCATAGGCATGTGAAAGTTGGATAGTGAATAAAGGAAAACCATAGATGAATTGATACATTTGAGTTATGGTGTTGGAGAAGAATATTGAAAGTTCTATGGGCTGCCAAAAGAACAAATAGATCTGTGTTGGAAGAAGTACAGCCAGAATGCTCTTTGACAGCCGGGATGGCCAGACTTCTTCTCTCATACTTCAGACGTATTTTCAAGAAGGACCAGTCCCTGGAGAAGGATATCATGTTTGGTAAAGTGGAGGGTGGGAGAAAAAGAGGAAGACCCCCTATGAGATAGATGGGCACAGTGGCAACATCAATGGGCTCAAGCATAGCAATGATTGTGAGGTTGGCCCAGGACCGGGCAGTGTTTCGTTCTGTTGTGCATAGGGTCACTATGATGGCATCTAACAACAACAATTTTAGAATCATTTCTATGGCATTTCTTCAACATAATTGAGACATTCATGGTTGTTTTAATCCCATTTTACTCCTTCAGACCAGGAAAAAAAAATCTTACCTGGGTTGCATTTATGCTTCTTATCGACCAGATTTATAAGTAGATGGCAAAACCATTCACCAAGAGTCAGCAATCCTTGGATACTTCAGAATCGGCCAGCATGAACACTATGTCTCTGCCCTTGAAGCCCAGAGGATGTGTTTGAATAACAAGAGTTCCCAATGTGAATCAGGAGCACATGGAACTTAAAATGTTGTGGTTAGCCATCTTCTTGGCAAAAATATCGTTGGTCTTTAAAAAGCAAATCTCTGTATACTCTTACTCCTCACCAACTATCTCATTATCTGACATTTCATACTTTGACAGTAGTAAGAAATGTATACTCTGACAACTTTGCGCATTAACAACATTAACAACATTAACAACCAATGTTGAGGTGGGAGGCATGAGGTGAGAGGAACGCTGGTTGTGGCTAGAGTTATGTGTCAAGTTGGCTGGAATATGATTCTCAGTGGTTTGACAGTTATGTAATGATAGTTTGGCAGTTCTGAATGATGTCGCCATCCACCATTTGGTAATCTGGTCTGATCACCCTGCATTTTAAATAAACTATGTGCAAGGAGCTTTGGTAGCGTAGTGGTTACGAATCGGGCTGCGAACCTTAAGGTCAGCGGTTCGAAACTACCAGCCGCTCCGCGGGAGAAAGATGAGGCTTTATACTCCCGTAAAGATTTACACCCTTGGAAACCCTGTACAGGGTCGCTATGGGTCGGAACCGACTCGACGGCACTTAACAACAACAACAAC